AAGCTAAGACCTTGAAATATCTACATCTTTGAAAAGAATTTCAGGTTTTAATTTTTCAAAATTGTAGATATACTAGTGTGTAGTCCTAAAGGCAATTTTTAAGCTAGTCCTTTGTTAAGTTTGATTTACTGTTTGTGTTAAATACATATTTTCTCTGCCAAGCAATGTTTCATCGGTCTACATTAAAAAGGCATATATGACAGGTCACTGGCATTAGATAGTATATTACTTGATGCTTTCTTACTCTGATATATTAATAAAGAATTTGAGGATAATGTATGACAGAGAACTTTTTTTTTTTTTTTTTGATAGGCAGAGTTAGACAGTGAGAGAGAGACAGAGAGAAAGGTCTTCCTTTTCCGTTGGTTCACCCCCCAAATGGCTGCTAAGGCTGGTGCTGCGCCGATCCAAAGCCAGGAGCCAGGTGCCTCCACCTGGTCTCCCATGTGCAGGGCCCAAGCACTTGGGCCATCCTCCACTGCCTTCCCGGGCCACAGCAGAGAGCTGGACTGGAAGAGGAGCAACTGGGACAGGATCCGGCACACCAACCAGGACTAGAACCCGGGGTACCGGTGCTGCAGGCGGAGGATTAGCCTAGTGTGCTCCGGTGCTGACCGACAGAGAACATATGTAACATTAATGAATATTATGTTTTGCCCTTCCTTGCAGATAATTTTTGTAATTCGTTTATTTAAATATTTAATTTTCTAGAGAATTTAGACTAAAACTAGCCACATGTTTTATAAAATATAAGGAAGTTGTTTAAAATTATTTTAGTACAGATATGGAGAGTTCTTGAAATGGAAATTTATGTTACAATTATATTTTAATTTTATATAGAAGATTTACTTTCAGTGTAGTTTAAGAAAGCAGGTAGTCTAGTTTGCCATGTTATTTTCTGTGTAGCTTGTATTTAAGTTATATTTTTAAAAGAAAATTAGAAAAGGAAGAGAGAGGATGAGAGTGAGGAAGGGCAGGTTCAGCAGGAAGTATCATGCTCTTAAAATTGTGTATATAAAATATATGAAATTTGTTCCCTTGAGGTAAATTTTAAAAAAATACTAAAAAAAGATATATTTTAAAATTTAAAGTGGTTCAGAGATGGGCATTTGGTGTGGCTGTTCAGGTGCCAGATAGGGACACCTGAGACCCACATCTGAACACCCAGGTACAATTGCTTGTTCCATCTTCTAATTCTACTTTTTCATGCCAGTGTCTCAAGTAATTGGGTTACTGTTGTTTGGCCTCCATTCTTTGCTGGCTATTGTGGGTATTTTGGGGAGTGAACCAGTGAAAAGGAACTCTTTGTTCCCGGCTGTGTTTATTTCTGCCTCTCAAATAATTCTACAAACAAATATTTAAGTGTGGTTCATTATTAGTGAAAGCCTATTTAGCACATTGATGTCATTAGTACTTCATTGTTTTGGTGAACATTTATGAGTTATTCTTTATATGCACTCAGCTATGAAGAATTAATATCTGTTGAGTTGATAAAATATTATATTTTAAGGATCCATATGAATCTTGCATAAGACCTAATAATGGTACTATGTATATTTGATTTATAATTAAATAATATTTAAATAAACTTTTTGTAGTTGTCAGAAAATACCTGTAATTTAAAATCGTTAATAAGTAATGTCTATAATTAGGAAACAAAATATTTTCTTCCCGTAAGTAAGACAGTGCTGAAAAAGAATGTTTTTTTTAAAAAAAAAAACTAGAGGGATCAGAATAATTTACCCCTTAGAAACATGCTTCATGTGTAATGTTTTCTTATAAGGTACTTGTAACTTTATGAATAAAGACTACATGAAATCATGAAAGCAAAGAAAAAAAAAACAGTGTTTTTAAAACAATTATTTCCAATTTGCTAATCAATTATTGCTATTTTTTCAGTGCATTAGGGATGAAATCGAGTATTTTAAACCATGACATTTTTTAAATCAACTAATATTACTAGCTTATGAAGCATTATTTTGTGATTTATAAAATTTTGAAATTTTGAGCAGTGAGATAATTGAGTGGGGAACAAAAGGTCTGATCCAAGTAGTGTGATTTTGTTTGTTTGCCTGCCATATGACCCAGCCTTCCCATCTCTGGGAATTTACTCAAAGGAAATAAATCAGCATATGAGAGTTCTCTGCACCTCCTTGTTTATAGCATCTCAGTTCACAATAAACAAGATATGAATGAACCCAGATGTCCATCAAATGATCAATAGATATCTGCCACATGACCAAGCCATTCCACTCCTGGGAATTTACCCAAAAGAATTGAAATTGGCATATGAAGCAGTTATCTGTACCCCCATGTTTATAGCAGCTCAACCCACAATAGCTAAGCTATGGCATCAACACGAATGTCCATCAGCTGATGACTGGATAAAGAACTTGTACATATACAAGATGTACTACTACTCAACTTTAAAAAAGAATGAAATCCTTTCTTTTGCAACAAAATGGATGCAGTTGGAGAACATTATGCTTAGCTGATCCCAGAAAGAAAAATATAATATTTTCCCTGATTTGTAATAGCTAATATGCAGAATACAAAAAAATATAATGTATATGAGCGAAGTTGACATTTTGAGATTTGATTATTGTTTATAGGTCTTTTCTATATGTTTGAGGAACAGTGCTTTTTCTACTTAGTACTTGTTGAATTCTTTATTTAACAGAGATTTAAGCTTGTGATTATGAAATAAATTCAAAATATGTCATTGTAAAGCTTAAGAAAGGAAAGAGAGGGACAGTGAGAGGTAGGTAAGGAGAAGGGGTGGAGTTATAACTATCACTATGCTCTTAAAACTGTATGTATAAAATTTGTTACCCTTATGTAAATAAAAAAATTAAAGTGAAAACAAAAAGATATTTTAATATTAAAAATTATCTTTCCATTTGAGAGGAAAAAAAGGAAAATGTGGTACATATGCATAATAGAATACTATTAGGTTATAAAAAGAATGAAATCCTGTCTTTTGCAGTAAAGTGGTTGAAACTGTAGACGACTATACTTAGTGAAATAAGCCAGACCCAAAAAGCCAAATATCATGTTTTCTTCGATATGTAGATAATATGTAGAGAACAAAAATGTCTATGAGTGAAATTGACATCCTGGGATTTGATTATTTTTTAGTCCTTATCTATATTGCTGCTGAACAGTGGTCTTTCTACTTTTCAATTCTTTATTTAGTGGAGGATTAAGCCTGTGACTGTCAAATAGATTGAAAGTGTTTCATTGCAAAAATTAAAAGGAAAAAGAAAGAAAGGGAGGGAGGGACGGGGGATGGGAAGTATCATTGTGGGCTTAAAATTGAATACATGGGCTGGCGCCACTGCTCAATAGGCTAATCCTCCGCCTGCAGCACTGGCACACCGGGTTCTTCTAGTCCTGGTCGGGGCGCTGGATTCTGTCTTGGTCGCTCCTCTTCCAGTCCAGCTCTCTGCTATGGCCCGGGAAGGCAGTGGAGGATGGCCCAAGTGCTTGGGCCCTGCACCCACATGGGAAACCAGGAGAAGCACCTGGCTCCTGGCTTTGGATCAGCGCAGTGCGCCGGCCTCGGTGCGCCGGCCACAGCGTGCCAGCCGCAGCGGCCATTGGAGGGTGAACCAATGGTAAAGGAAGACCTTTCTGTCTGTCTCTCTCACTGTCCATTCTCCCTGTCAAAAAAAAAAAAAAAAAAAAAAAAGAATACATGAATTACATGAAATCTGTTCTCTTTCTATACATTTTGAAAACAGAAAAAAAGAAATAGCTAAACATACTGGCATGTAAAAAATACCACCCATAACCTAAAAAATACAAATTTTTAATTATTTATGCTGCTTTTATCTTGCCACATGCCTGATCATTAACAGTTGGCATCCAGGTTTGAGTTAGATTATAGAGATTAGTCCAGAAGTAGAAAACTTAACAAATTTTGATTTGACATATTAGGTCTGCATAGTGTTTAACATTTTTAATTAAATTAAAAATTAAGCAACTTTATTCCAGATTTCATGTTTCTTTTAAGAATATTAAGAACTGGCAGCATTGTATGATAATTGATGAATACTGGGGGCCACTTTGAATAAGACATATGTTGTCTACTTTGAGGAAATGCCCACTTGACCCACTTACTTTATATGCATATCTACTCGCCTCCCATAAGTACTTGAGTTTAGAACATTTTGCTTAACTAACTTAAAATATGACAGTAGGGAAATTAGAACCACATCAGTTAGATGATTTCCTAAGATAATTAATGAAAGAGTTAGGGTTATAGTTTTGATGACTTCATTATCAATCCATTGGATAGTGACTGTAAATCAGAAGATTGAAATTATGTCCTGGCTCCCTGCCTTCTAGATTTTATTTTATAATGTTGAATTTTATAGTTATAAATTGCAAAGAATAGTGATAGTGATAAAATTATTATTGCAAAGGTTGAATATTATTTATCAATGACATATTCATACTTACAGAGTAATTTTAACTGCTTCTAACAATACGCTTCTTTTTGCAGCTGGCAACATTTTCATATAAATAACATGTTTTAATTATCTTATACATTGAAGGTGGATATTGTGATGTTGTTGAGTAGCACTAGTACACAATATGATGATGTACTTTTTAGTAAATATATAATTATTTTTGCTTATGTACATTTTTCAAAGTCTCAAATGACAGTCATTTTTCTATATAACTAATTTGCCATGTCATTTCAGTGTGTTAACAGGAAAAATAAATTCATGCTATGAAAAGGCATAATTCTGTCTATAATAACATCTGGCTTTATATATTTAGTGAAATTATTTTAAATAATTAAAAATGAGAATACGAGCATATGAATATCTTCATTAGCAAAGTAAAGTTTAATTCTCATAGAACTGGAGTGAGAATAACAAAATAACACCACTGACATGGAGGACACAAAAATTGTTTATTGTAAATTACTGTGCTTTAAAACTTGAGTTTATTATGTTACCTTTAAAAGAAGTTTACTTTTATCTTTTCAGAGTACCTTCAAATTTAAATCTGAGAGTGATATTCATTTGGCAGAACATCATAAACAGGTTTTATATGATGGAAAACTTGCAAGTAGCATTGCATTTACATATAATGCTAAGGCCACTGATGCGCAACTATGCCTGGAATCATCACCAAAGGAAAATGCTTCAATTTTTGTTCATTCCCCACATGCTCTAATGCTCCAGGTTGGTGAATAATAGCTTAGTTTTGTTGTTCTTATCAGCATTAACAATATTTTGATTTTATACCTTAAACATTGCTTTTTTATAACTCTGCACTTGATTTTGTTTGGTTAGTTCCAGTTCTTAAAATGGAGCTTTTGCCTTCTGCCTTTTTTTGAGGGCAATATACTTTACCTTAGCCTTGTATACTTACAAGATACTAGAGATCTATTATATCTCTTACTTTGCTTGTTCTGTGTCTTTGAAATAATACCTGTTGATTAGCTGAACAAATTTAGATATAAAATTATACTAAGCTTTAAGAATGTATTACTCTCAAACATAAAAATTACCTGTCTTTAAGTCTGTTAATATTTCATATCCTAATGTAAATTTTGATTTCAGCTTCATATTTTAGTGTGAACATCTAAGATTTCCACTTAAAATTGATTAACCAGTATGCTCTAATTTTTCATTTTATATGTTTATCAAAGATTATGTAATGAGAGTTTCTGAAATCTCAAACTGTGTTTAATTTAGTTTTAAAGATATTGGAACAAGGAAATAATGATGAAAATTATGCTATAGAAATTTAATAAACACCTTTGTTTTTAAAAATATAGGATGTGAAAGCTATAGTAACACATTCAATTCATAGTGCCATTCATTCAATTGGAGGGATTCAAGTCCTTTTTCCACTTTTTGCCCAATTGGACAATCGGCAGCTCAATGACAGTCAAGTGGAAACAACTGTCTGGTAAGTTTTGTCTGAATGTACAGTTGATGATATTTTTGACACACTGAGATTCATACATGATCTACTCATTGCTGTATTAATAAAATACTTGGGTTTTATAATAGAAATGCTAAAAAATTCTTTTAAAACTAAGAGAGATACATATTTACTCAATGTAAAAAGTAGCCTAACACTTAGATTCTTACAACCATGAATGATTTGCCTTCCTATCTAATACATAATTTCTTACCAGATATTACATATGTAATATACAGTTCAGAAAAAAATATTGTCCCTGAAATTACACTTCCCAAACACTCATGGTTTGGATTGTCCATAAAATCCTGACAGGCTGAGAAAAATCACTAGGGTAAATTTTATTCACTAGACTTGTATTTAATAAGAGCTACATGATTTATATCTTAAGGAATGATACTATTTTATAATGCTGTTATCATAAGGTTAGCATAATATTAACTGATATCAGTTTTTCTTTATATATATAGTTCCTGTTTTAAGACTTATTTGGCATATCCCGTGTTCATGTAAAAACTAAGTATTATCTAATGAGGCTAATTTCATGTATACTTTTTAGTTTCCCTTAGTGCTATTAAAATATACCATTTGCATTAAACTTAATGTTATATCTTAAAATCATATGTATAAGAAGTTAAAACTGAATTGTAGGAGCTATTTTTACTGCGTATTATGAATGGACAGAGTATATATATATATAAACATTTTTTATTCTAGCTGTTATACAGGAGTTTTTCATTAGTCTGCTTACAAATACATGTGATCCTTCATGAGTCATCCAATTTTGGATTAATAAAGTCAATGAAGATATGAGAAAAATTTAAGATTCAGTGAAAAATAATGCATTATTTTATCATTTTTATTATCTGTATTACTTGTGACTGAAACTCTACTTCTAATGTTATTCCTACATTGGGACTATCCTTGTGTAAATTATAAATTTAAATTTAAATGTGGCCTATGCATTTACAGCATTCAGCTCCTGTCATTATAGTGTGAAGGTTGGAGTTTTGAAAGTAAAAAGCTTTGGAGTGAAAAGGAATCTTGATATTGTGCCTTTACTATGAGTTCTTAAATCGTTTCAATTTGGAGGCAGATAAACTTAGTGGAAAAATCAAATTTTAAATACTAGTCCTCTGTTTAAATTCAAAATGTTTTCCCTTTTATCACTTAAGTAAATCAACAGAAATTATGGTCACTAATTTAAAACTGAGTAAGTGCCATGAAAGGAAATTAGAGAAAAAACTTCATATATAATTTAACATGAAATAGGAGTATGTACATTTTTAACCTGAAATGGATTTTGTTGCTCAATGAAGAGAATATCAGAAAAATTATACAGCTTGGAATGCTACAACTAAAATTATCACAATGATTTATTTCATCATGAAAATGTATTATATAGTCTTAGTGCTAAAACCTTATTTAACTGGTTATTTAGTCCATTCATCCAAGACACATGGTTGTTTTCCATTACCTGTCTTTAAAACTCATTTTAGAATTCATAAAATATTTTGTTATTTAAATTGTCTTCATTTTATTTTAAGAAGATAAAAAACAGTGTGAAGAATTAGCATATAAATTTTCATCTTGACTTGTTTTTAGTTCTTTTATATCATTCATTTTAATTTTTTCCTATAGAAAATAATTCCAACTTTTTTAGTTACTTATATTACTTTCTTAGTCAATAGTTAATAGAAAACTTAGGACAAGGAAGATAACATTCTCATCTTTATAATAATAATCCATACTCAATTTTCAGCTATGTTGTAATTTAGTTGCATTCTATTTTGAATTCTTACTACTTTTTGTTTGTTTCAAAGCCTTGATGTCTGAGGTCTGTTTCACCTTTTTTGTAGATGTATGTGTGTATCAATAATATAGTCTTTTGTTATTTAATGTTTATAGGAGACCATTAAACAAAGATATGTACATCAGTGATACAGTCTTTAATTTTTTAAAACTTTAAAATCTAATTTGTTCAGTAGGAATTTTCCCTCTGTTTTTAGCCATGTAAATTTTGATAGAATTTTCAGTTTAATTGCCATGCTGTCAATTCAGATAAATTATTGGGACCTTAAAATAGGGTGGATCATTTTATTTTCAGTCAGTTTTAAATTGTTATAGATACATATAAATCAGTTACAGACAGAATTCAGTATATTATCTTTTGGATGTCTATTTGCACAATAAATACATGGCAAACGTTCTGAAAATGTGTAATTTAGAGTTATCTTTTATAGAAGTTGAATCAGCTTTAAAACAGCTTCTCTGCCCTCTGTGTTTCAAGCTGAAGCATTTTATATTATGTGTCCTTTCTTCTACTAAGTAGTCTATTTTTAAGAAACATTTTACTGTCTCTATATAGTCTTACCTCTTTATTTTTTTAAAATTTATTTGTATGTATATTGTATATAAATTTAAAACATAGCAATTCTTCCTGCCGTACCCACTCTGCCACCCACTCTCCGACATCTTCCTCTTCCCCCTGTTTAGTCTTAGAAAGAAAAAGAAAGAAAGAGAAAGAGAAAAAAATACAATGAAAAAACTAAGAAAACTGTTCCTTAGCAGTCTAGACAAGGGCTGTTCAAAGTTACTGCTTCTCAAAGGTGATCTCACTTGTTTTTGTTTCCCATACTCCTTTTCCTTCCTTCCTTCCTCCCCCTTCTTTCCTTTTGGAAGCTTAATTATCTTTAAAGAAGAGCCCAAGAATTATACATCTTTTCGAGTGCTCAGACTTAACTATAACTTATGAGACATAATCATATCCTTCACTTAATACACTGAAAGGAAATGATTCTTGAGAATAAGTTTTACTGTTAAATCTCATGATAACAACTATTTGGGGACAGAATTTCTTGCATGGGAAGTTAGTGCACAGTGGCTCTTGTTTTTTATTTAACAATGAACACTCTTACACATGACATCAGTGATCACCCAGTGCTCTTAACATGAGCTGCCTTGGCTATGGAAGCCTGTTGGTCTACTAGCTCTGCAAGGCCATATGCAAAGTGAAAGCTTTCGCCTCCCTTCAGAGAAAAGTACATCCTTTTTGGTAGCCGCTTCTTCCACAAGGGTCTCACCCACAGAGGTACTATATGTAGAGCATTTTTTTGCCTGAATGTCTTGGCTTTCCATGCCTGAAATGCTCTCCTGACTTTTCAGCCAGATCAGAATGCCTTAAGGGCTGATTGTGAGGATGAAGTATAGAGCCTTACCTCTTTTATCAGTCTTATTTTTCCTAAACCTCATGAGTTTTTTTTTTTTTTTTACCCTACCTAGAAGGATAATAATGAAGCAATATATTGGAAGATTAATATGTTGTGGAGCTGTAAAGATAGGCTTTATTTGTGCAGGAGGATTTTTTTTTTTTTAGTTTTGCTGTACTATGAGGATATGTATTATAGTTGTTGTATATATATGTACTTTCAAGTTGGACAGACTTGGGTTCAAATCTTGAGTATAATGTTTATTACTAGTGAAAGTTGGGAGTGCATCATAACTATTTTTGCTACAGTTTCTATAACTATAAAATTAGAAAAAGAATAGCTCATAGTATTAGACTAAATGCAGAAATATGTATACATCATACACAGCATATATTCAATACATTCTAGTTTCAGTTATGATGACAATGAGCTAGTTGAGCTCACATGGCTATATCTAACACTAGAGTTTAATATTTAAAGCTTTCTATACCACCAATGTAGAGAAGTATATAATAACATGGTCCATATTACCTTTTATTTGAATGACCTTTTGTTAATAATACTATTTTCAGTAGAGAATTGCATGATTAAGAAATAAAAAAAAGATTTATGTTTTGAATTTCAGGTGTGATGAAACTTAGTTTTGAACCATCTATTTTTCAGGTATAGTGGCTTACAATTCAAGGATATATTAGCTCAAGTATGAAAATTAGGACCAAGTCATAGCATGACTTCTCTTTAGTGAGTTTTTTACTTAGCTGTTCCCTTAGTCTCCAGGAATCATCCATTTGTTGCCTTTTCTTTTAACGTGTGGTTAGCTATTATCATGGCACAAAATAAAATTAAGCAACAAAAGTACTAGAGAAATAGTAGAGAAATATTAGTAGAGCTGAATAGATCAATAATATTTATCTACTATATTATTATTATAAACATTTATGAGTATAGAATATTTGAAGTGATTTAATTTTAAATAAGTTAAGGAAGCCAATGTGTAGTTACAATTGTGATTTCATCTTGTTTATACTTTTTCTTGATCACTTTGAATAATGCCTCCAAATGTTCAATGCTGTTTGGATATTTTGTCATTTCTTGAGCATTAATATTCTTTTATATTGCACTGATTGATTTTAACTTAGTTTAGTAAATATTGAAGGCAATAAATAAACTGCTTTTCATTAGATCTTTGATAATTATGTAATGATGAAAAATGAGCAAATGGTATCAGATGATTCAAGAAGCATAATTCCACTCCTGACATAACGTATTATCTTTTGTAGTTTTTGTACATTACTCAGTAAATTAAATAGGAACTGCATTTTCCTGTGAATTGAATGATCACATACCCTGACTAAAAATAACATTTTCTTTTTACATTGGGATACTTTAGGAGATAAAAAAACAAAACAAAAATTTCCCAATGTATGATTAAGGAAAATGTTGCTTTGAAAAATCAAATGTTTATGTTTACTGGAACAATGTAGAAGCTCACTTTTTGTAGGTAAAATAATTGAAAATATACCAAGAGTGTAGTCGTTTTTGTCTATGATCATACTACCTTGAACATGCCCAATCTTGTGTGATCTCGGAAGCTGAGGGTCCTCATTAGTACTTGCATAGGAGACAGTAGTTTTTTTTTTTTTTTTTTTTAAACAGGTAGAGTTATAGACTGTGAGCGAGAGGCAGAGAGAAAGGTCTTCCTTCCGTTGGTTCACCCCCCAAATGGCCGCTACGGCCGGCGCTGCACCGATCCAAAGCCAGGAGCCCGGTGCTTCC